GAAGTCAGGCAATCAGTGTATTTGAAGTAGGAGGATTAACATTCTGTACTATTTACTGCAGTTAGATTAATTCTTGGCTGGGACATTTTCCCCCTCTTCAACACGGGCCCATACAGAGAGCTCTCCCTTTGATATGCCAGCCCAAATCCAGAGTTAAGCCTGTCTAAAGCAATGATTTCAAACAAACCTTTCATCAGTTCTTCCCCCAGATCATATTTAAGGAAATAATAAAATTACAATGTATTAAGCCTGAGAAATATTCTTAATCTCTCTTTGGTTTGACACTCATAATGAGCCTTAGCTTTTCCTTTCACATGTACTAAATAATTTGGGAAACTAGCTAGGCCACGAAAATTGCCAACCCTGTTTCCCTAATGATTAGGATTGTATTCATGTAGATGGAATGATACTACTCTACAGATCCTTCCTTACAAAAAAAAAAAAACCACTATGAAACATTTTAGCTTGAAATCATGGCACAAAAAAGTGATGTGATGATAATCCAAATGCTTAACTCCAAATGTAACAGAAAGCCTAAAGGCTCTTCTGTTTTCAATACTTGGGGTTTTGCCCACTGACAAGGTTTGTGGAAGTAACAAAACATTTACATCGTACGTGAATATTCAGTAAGGACTAGCCAATAAAAGATGCTCTATGGTGATGCCTTCAGGAAAAGAAATCCATGTAAAATAGATTGTTTTCTAAACTGGATAAGATTTTTCTAGATGCCCTTTTGAAAGACAAACGTACTGCAGCGTGTGCAATAATCTTCAAACAATTTTAAATACCTTTGGGGGGGTTTTATAGAATTTGACTTTTTTTAAACAAAGTGTAAAAAATCCACAGGAATTCTGTAGAATGGTTATGTTGATAGAATTTTTTATATTTTTGTAGAAATCTATAGAGAAATTGTTAAAAGTCTGCGTAGCATCTTGGGAACAGAAGCAGCTCTTATCTACAAGTTTCTTTTCCTAAACCTGGAACCAGATCTACTGTATTGCAGCAGGTAGAGCCTAGTTTCGGAGCCTGCATCCAGGTCATGTTCAGATGTAAGCAGCTAAGCTCAAGTTCTACGATATTGCAGTGCTATTACTGTTTGAGAACTGTACCCACACAAACACCTACCCCAAAACTCACCCCCAGTCGATGGTAAAGCAGTCACATGTCTATCCAGCTCATTCAAGCACACCAGCACTTTACTACTGTGGATTTACTGTATACAGGTGGGAGGAGGATATTTTGTTATTGCCAGTCTGACACATGGGGAAAAAAAAAAAAGAGATTGCAGATGTGTCTGGAAAAATGTAAATTCCATTCTTGCAGCCCCTCGCACATAGAACTGATTTTTCATAACTTGGTTACAGGCCGTTTGTACTGTAGATGTTTTGGAGGAGGGCAAAGAAAACACTGTTTTTGACTTCTGTGGATTGCACTCAGCACCAGGTGTGTTCAAGGAGAAAAAAAAAAAAAAACCACAAAAAATGTAAACACAAGAATTACCATTGTAAATTAGGCTATGCCCCAGTCTCCCCTTTTCTGCCCCTTTGGCTATAATAACCCATGTACACTATTACACGAGGTGACTAGAGTAGGCACAGTACCATTGCAATGTCCGTAACAACCTAGTATATATGATAGAACTTTGTATTTAATAGTTAATATATTGTTATACTGTATCAGGTATAGAGGCCAAACTGAGGTCTGTTGGTCAGGGCAACAAAAGGTGGTATTCGTGGGGAAAATTGGGTTAAAATGTTCCTTTTTAAAAAAAGAAGACAAAAAAAGACAAAAAAAGACAAAAAATGAGTGTAAATCTTTACAAATGACAAAAACAAATGTGTCCTATTAAAAAGCTTTTGAAAAGAAAAACAACTGTGCATTTCCTTTTTTGTTGGTGTTGTTGCTGATGATAATCTCTATCATTCCAAGCGGTCAAGTCTTTGGTCATGTTTTAATTGTGAACAGTTGGAGTAGGTATCGGATACCAGCAGCAAATGGGAGGTTGAAAGGAAGATTGTGAAATGTTTGGCCTTTGTGAAATGATGCTTAAGGATGTCAGGATTGCAATGGAGAGAGCTACAGCCAACAGCGATAAAGGAGTCAGAAGGGGCAGATTTGTTCTGTCCATGAAAACTTGTTGCTGTGAAGAGGAAGATAATGGGCTTTTCCATGCATTCACAACTGTGGGATTCCCAGCCTGAAATCCAGTTGGTCTCTCCTCCAGGA